TTTCTGGGATATTGTACAAAAAGAAGACAAAGATTCAGAGACAGCATAAGGAAGAACCTTGATACAGATGTCAGTGGTTAAGTTTATTCCTTTCGCTTGTTCAAGGAAATATAGGTATTGATGGCTAGGCTGTATTTATTGCCATCCCTAAATGCTCTGGAGACAGTGTTGTTAAACAGACTGTTGGAATACACTGCATGAAAGGATGATTGATGCCGCCTCAATATTCTTTAGAAGGAAATTGGATCGAAAAACAAATTGCAGGGTTGTATGGTAATGGGACTAACTTGATTGCCCTTCAGAAGAGCTGGCAGAACCTCCGTGATCTCTGTGTTATCGTTCTTTGCAGATTTGGTACTTTGAATCAGTTTGAATAGTGAAGCATCAATTGTGTAGTTTCACAATCAAGGGGAGGCAATGGCCTAGTGGTATTATCACTGGACAGTTAATCCAGAGACCCGTGTAATGTTCTGGGTAATGTTCAACTGTGCCACAGCAGATGGTGGAATTTGAATTTAATAAATATCTGAAATTAAGTGTCTAACGATGACCATGGATCCATTGCCGATTGTCGGAAAAATCCATCTGGTTCATTGATACCCTTTAGGGAAGGAAACTGCCATCCTTACCTGGTCTGGCCTACATGTGGCTCCAGACCCAAAGCAATGTGATTTACTCATAACTGCCCTCTGGCCACCTAGGGATGAGCAATAAATGCTGGCCTAGCCAGCGATGCCCTTTTCCTGTGAAAGAATAAAAAAAAATGAGATGTGAATTGTGTAGGAGTAAGTTTGGTTCATGTGGGAATTTGGTGCATATGAGGAAAGAAGTGGTTTTAAGTAAAGTTTAAATCACGTTTTATGCATAGTTGCTTTTTTTTAATATTCACTTGTGAGATGTGGGCATTGCTGGATGGCCAGCGTTTATTTCCCATTGCTAGTTCCCTTTGGTAAGGTGGTAGTGAGCTGCTGTAGCCCATGTGCTGGGGGTAGACCCATAATGCCATTCAGGAAGGAATTCTATAATTTTGTTTTGAGTGACATTGTTCCTTCAATGATATATTTCCAAATCAGAATGGTGAGTGGCTTGGAGGGGAACTTACATGGGAACACCACCACCTGCATTTGCTGCGCTTGTCCTTCTAGATAGAAGTGGTCACGTGTTTGGAAGGTGTTGTTGAAGGATCTTTGGTGAATTTCTGCAGTGCATCTTGTACACAGTACACACTGCTGCTACTGAGCATCAGTGATGGAGGGAGTTATATTTGTGGAGGTGGTGCTAATCGAATGGGCTGTGTTGTCTTGGGTGGTGTCAAGCTTCTTGAATGTTGTTGGAGCTGCACCCATCCAGGCAAGTGGGGATTATTCCATCTCATTCTTGACTTGTGCCTTGTGGATGATGGGCAGGACTTTGGAAGTTAGCGTTGAGTTAATTGCAGCAGTTCTGCTGTTGTAGCCACAGTGTTTGTGTGGTGAATCAAGTTGAGTTTCTGGTCAATGGTAACCCCCCAGGATGTTGATAGTCGGGGATTCAGTAATGGTAACACCATTGAATGTCAAGGGGCAGTGGTTATATTGTTTTTTTTTTATTGGTGATGGTCATAGCCTGGCGTTTGTGACACAAATGCTACTTGCCACTTGTCAGCCCAAGCCTGGATATTGTCCAGATCTTGTTGCATTTGAACATGAACTGCTTCAGTAAATGAGGAGTTGTTGTAAATGTTGCTGAATATTGTACAGTCAACATTGAACATCCCACTTTTGACCTTATGATGGAAGGAAGGTTGTTTGATGAAGCAGCTGAAGATGGTTGGGCCAAACACACTGCTGTTGAGACCCCCCACCCCGCTCCCCTGAGATGGCTGATCTCCAACAAGGGGAGGGAATGGCCTAGTGGTATTATCGCTGGACTATTAATCCAGAGACCTAGATAACATTCTGAGGACCTGGGTTCGAATCCCACCACGGCAGATGGTGGAATTTGAATTCAATAATATATCTGGAATTAAGAATCTAACAATGACCATGAATCCATTGTCAATTGTTGGGAAAAATCCAGCCGGTTCACTAATGTCTTTTAGGGAAGGAAACTGCCATCCTTACCTGGTCTGACCTACATGTGACTCCAGACCTAATAGCAATGAGGTTGACTCTGAACTGCCCTCTGGGCAATTAGGAAATGGCAATAAATGCTGCCTAACCAGCGACGCCCTCATCCTGTGAATGATTTTAAAAAAAAAAAAACAACCACAGCAATATTCCTATGTGCCAGGTTTGACTGTAGCCAGTGGAGAATCATAAAATCCTGGCAGTGTGGAAGCAAGCTACTCAGCCCATCAAGTCAACACTGACCCTCCAAAAAGCATCCCACCCAGACCCATGTCCCTACCCTCTCTGTATAACCCTGCATTTTCCATGGCTAATCCATCCAGTCTCCACATCCCTGCACACTATGGCAATTCAGCATGACCAGTCCACCTTACCTGCACATCTTTGGATTGTTTGCCCCCGATTTGCATTGATTCCAGTTTTGCTATCTATTGGTACTGGTGAAGATTCATTAATAGTTGTAAAAGTTTGTGTTATTAAAAGTTTTTTTTTTAGCAGTAGCAAGGTCAACTAATAACAGCATGTCTTTTGCTCTGTGGAGCATTTCCCATATCCTGGAAAGCCATATGTGCTGGAAGTTTGTGAATTGTAGCACCTAAAGCTCTAGGCTTTGGAACTTGAGTAGCAGCAAGAATAACTGTAGTGCATTCAAGAAGCTGAGACAATGTGGATATCAATGTGTTTACTGATGTAGTCACTTGCATCTTAGTAGTATGTATGGAAAGAGGGAATGACCACCAGGCAGTCCAGAAGGAACAGGCAGTAGGACAGAAGTTGCCTGAGAGCATCCTGCTCTGCACCTTATGTTCAGTTCAAAATACTGATGATGTGGAGGTGCTGGTGTTGGACTGGGGTGGACAAAGTCAAAAGTCACACAACACCAGGTTATAGTCCAACAGGTTTATTTGAAATCACAAGTTTTTGGAGTGCTGCTCCTTCATCAGGTAGCGATGGAGCAGAGCTCTGAAAGCTTGTGATTTCAAATAACGTGGTATCGTGTGATTTCTGACAAACTACTGATGACTGTGATGGCTCATCTGGGAGTGCAGCCAGAACAAAGTACAAAGCACCAAATGAGGTATAATTTTACAGGGGGTGGTATAAAGAAGATCAGAAGAACTGTAGTGATAGGTAATTGGTAAATAGGGGAACCGATAAACATTTCTGCAACTACAAATGTAAATCCATGAAGGTATGTTGCCTTCCTGATGCCAGGATCAAGGATATCACTGAGTGGCTGCAGAGCACCGTGAGGAGATTGGGCGAAAAATCTGCAATCATGGTTGACATTGGGACCAACGATATCAGTAGAGAGAGCGATGTCATCCTGTAGGTGGAGTTCAGGGCAGGATTGGGTGTTTAAATATTACTGGATAAAAAATTGGTCAGAAAAACAGGAAGGGAAGAAAAGTGAGAGGAATGGTATTATTGATCAAGGAGAACATGGCAGTGCTTGGGAAAGTGGATGTCCTAGAATGGCCAAGGACAGAATTGAGTTGACTCAAGCCAAGGGCCAAAAGAAGGCCCAACTAAATTACATTATCCAGTTTATAGACCACTAATGTGGAGGTAATGGCCTGGTAGTATCATTGCTGAACTGTTAATCCAGGGACCCAGATAATGTTCTGGGGACCTAGGTTTGAATCCCATAAAGGCAGATGGTGTAATTTGAAATCAATAATAAAAAAAATCTGGTGTTAAGGTGTGTAATGATGACCATGAATCAATTGCCGATTGTTGGGAAAAGCCTATCTGGTTCACTAATGTGCTTTAGGGAAGGAAACTGCCTTCCTTACCTGGTCTGGCCTACATGTGACTCCAGACCCACAGTCAATGTGGTTAACTGTTAACTGCCCTCTGGGCAATTAGGGAATGCTGCCTAGCCAGCAATGCTCACATCTTGTGAACAAATTTAAAAAAAAAAAAAAATTTGTGTAATGGATTATAGAAGGTTAAATTTGTAAGAAAATCTGTAGTGCAGAAATCATGGTGAAAAAATAATGCTGAAACTTTTATCTTATGCTAATCAGGACAATTCACAAGAAATACCAATGTAAAGGGTATGTAGCATGTAACTGTATGACAGAGTGCTAATTGGCTGGCAAGTGGATTCTGGTGCATTCTCCATGGAAAATCTTATTTAGTTAAACAGTGGCTGAAAGGTCACTGACGTTTTGTTGAAATTCTTAAGCAGCCAAGTAGATTGCTTAATGCGTGTGAAATGAACCAGGGAATTGCTGTCAACTGTTTTGTTCAGTTGAAACAGATGCATTGAGTTTACATGCTCTTTCTGCCTATAAACAGAGCAGGAGAGCAGGGCCTTGTGTATTAATTGATGTAGCTTCTAGTATGTGCAACAGCACCACATTGCAAGTTGAACTGTCAATCTAAGTTGTTTTGGCGGTGTCATTCTTTACTCTGGATTATTTAGCATAAAACATACATGGTGAACATATGGCTTGGGAGATATTCACAAGGTTGACAGTAGGTCGTTCTTATAGTGCCTGGAACTGCAGGAATTCTATGTGTACATTGTCCCGTGAAAGAAGGTTTGTGCTGCAAACTCCCTTGGTGATTCTCAACTAGCACATCAAGGAGAGGCAGCTCATTTGACTGCTCCATTACAAACATGATTTTGAGTGCAGGATAGAGTCCATTAAGGTGTATAAGGAAATTCTTAGCTGTAGCTGCACTTTTACATATAGAAGACAGAACTTCAAATGAAATATACAAGCTGTAGACGTTTCGATGTCATTCCATTGAAGATAGATATATTTCTCAAAGAATCGAACGAGGATGTTTGCTAGAACTGAAGCTAACTGATCTATGGCAACACTATCTATTTGTGCATATGTGGTGTTCTTAAAACTGCTGAGTTCAGAAGTTTACTGGATGCCGATTCATGCGATGGCAGCAGATGTAGATCATTGTGATGCAGTGCTGCAGTAAAGGTATCTACGGCTTTCTATGGTACACTGGTGAGTAGGCTAGTAATGTCAAATAAGCACATGGACACTGTATTGCTATCGATTATATTTGTACACTGTGAAGGAAGCTTTCACATTTGTATGGAAAACCTGCCCAAAACTGTAGGAATTCACCCAACCATTTGGCCAGTTCATGTTGTGCGGAACCCAATTTCAGATCAAGTAGGGTATAAAAGGGCATCACTTTCATCTGTCTTGGGCAGTCTATAATACACCGAATTAGTGCCACTATGAGGATGAATCCTATCATGTATATGATCTGATAGCTCGTTACTCTTACACAGTCAAACAAATGTGTTTTAAGCTTGCTTTTGTCTGGCCCTGCTGAGTGGCAAATCCAAAGGATGTATATTTTAACCAGTCAAAGAATGGTGTGTATTCTGTTGATATGATCATACATGGTAACAATGCTGGTCCCTTTTATCAGGTTTATTGGTGTGTATGTCTGGATTGGCCTTGAGGTCTCACAACACAGCCACCCAATCGCAGTGCACACAAAAAATGAACAAGTTGCTTAGAATTTAGCAAGGTGTTCTTTCCAGTTTTCTCTATCTTCAGTGGGTGCTGATATGTGGTGAGATAGCCAGGAGTTGAGCTCAACTTCAGCGTATACCTCTTCCTGTTTGTGGGACTAAGGTACACCAAAATTGAAACCACGTCCACAATAAAACTCCTTGCTTCCATAGATTTACTACATGTTTAGTGGAATCGTTAATTGTGTTGCAGACTGCGTCCGCTTAGGTGAATTTATGATGCAGGCATGTTTTAAATGGGTATTGTTTATGGTGCAGTCATTTATTGAATAATAGAAACAGAGATAATTGGAGTAGGAGTATGTCTTTTGGTCCTTTTGAGCTTGCTCTGCCATTCAATACGATCAGAGTTGATTATCCAACTCAGTAACTGGTTCCCGCTTTCTCCCCATCCCCCTATAATCCTTTTAGCCCTAAGAACTGTATCTAAAGTTTTCTTGGAAATATTCAATATTTTGCCCTCATTCACTTTCTCTGGCAGAGATTTTCACAGGCTCACCGCTCTCTGGGTGAAAAATCAGCCCTAAATAGTTTACCCTGTAACCTTAATCTATAGCCTCTTGTTCTGGACCCCCTGGTCATTGGGAATGCCCTTCTGTGTTTACCCTGTCTAGTTCTGTTAGAATTTGATAGGTTTCTATGAGATCTCCCACTGCCTAAATTCTTCACATCAAGTGACTGTTGTCTGGAATGCAAGTCTCTGAGTGTGGTTGAGACAGTTTCATTCGAGGCTTTCAAAGGAAATTGTTTGATTATTTGAAAAGGAACCACGTCCAGGGTCCAGAGCAGCAGGAAAATGGCTCTGAGATGCTTATTTGCTGAACTAACACAAACATGAATGTCCTGCTATGCTGTAACAATTCTATAGTATAGTCAACAAGTGTGCAGACCGAAGCACCAAACAGATGCTAGAAAGGGGCTTAGCAGCTGTTGACCTTCATGGATCATTCAGTGGTGTGCTGTAAATTTGACTAAAAATTGCAGACTGGGGCAAAATGCATTCTGCTACCCAGTCCAATCCAATATATTTCTAATCATCCAGATCTTTCTGGCCTATTGCTTTTCACTGTCACTTCATCTCTGAGCACTTCTGTTGTTTATCATTGCTACCCACTGCCCTGATGTGAAAGAACAGGCTGAACGTGCTTATCTCGGTTATAGTTTATAGTCCTGCCAAAGACAGATTACAGAAGGGTAGATTTCTTCGAATAAGTGTTTTCCTTTCCGATTTTTCATTTTGTGTTTGCTGCTGATATGTTGACTCTGTACAATCTGAATTAAGAGGTAGCAAACTGAAAACTGTTGATGGAAGTAGTTTATAGGATTTCTAATAGGTATCATAGTGTTGGACTGAGTACAAATTGGAGGAATATATAACAAGGACAATGCAGCAACACTGCTGGGCTTTAATTTTTATGAATGGAAAAATCAAATTGGCAAAATGTAACTTGAATTCTGTAGATTCACTGATCTGTGGCTGAAGAAATTCCTCCTTATCCCGGACCTAAAGGGTCAACCCTTCACTCAGAGCCTGTGCCTTCTGGTCCTGGTCTCTCCTACTAGTGGAAACATCTCCACACCAACTCTATCTAGGCCTTCAGTGTATAAATGGTAAGTTTCAATGCAGTACCCCGTCTTCCTTTCAAACTCCACTGAGTACAGAGCCGGAGTCCTCAACCACTCCTCATACGACAAGCCCTTCATCCCTGGGATAATCCCCTCCAATACCAGTATATCCTTCCTTAGATACAGGGCCTGTAACTGGTCTTAATATTCCAAAAGCAGTCTGACCAAAGCCTAATACAACCTCAGCAGTGTTTTAGCCCTTTTGAAAAGAATGCTAATATTGCATTTGCCTCCCTAACCACTTACTGAACCTGCATGTTAACCTTAAGGGAATCCTCAACTAGGATTCCCAAATCCCTTTGTGCTTCAGATTTCTGAAGCCTTTCCCCATTTAGCAAATAGTCAATGCCTCTATTCTTCCTACCAAAGTGCATAACCTCACACTTTCCCACATTGTATTCCATCTGCCACTTCTTTGCCCAATCTCCTAGACTGTCCAAGTCCTTCTGCAGCCTCCCCACTTCCTCAACACGACCTGAACCTCCCCCTATCTTTGTGTCATCTGAAAGGATCACTGGGGACAGAGTATTTTCCTTGTCAGGAGAGTTTGGACCTAGGAGACATATCACGGCAAATGAGAAATTTCTGCTCTCAGATGCTAGTGAATTTTTGGAATTCTGTACTCCAGAAGGTTGAATTTGGTTAATTATTGGGTATATTTAAAACTAACACAATGGGAATCATGGGATATCAGGAGCGAGCAGGGAATGGGAATTGAGGATAGAAGACTAACCATGATATAAATATATGTTGGGAAGTGCATGAGATGGGTGTATGGCCTAATCCTATTACCTAAAAGTCCTGAATTTTAAATCAGAATTGTTGATTATTACTGCAGAGGAACTGTGTTCCATAACATTGGGAAGAGAAAACTATTTTGTTTCCAAATGTCTATATGTTGAGTACCTATTAAAAGCACAACTATTTATATTTGTTGGTATAATTCCTGTTGCGTCCCTTATGGATTCCGTTTGTATTTCTATTTTGCAGCTTGTTGTCCGATACAATGGCCATCCTTGAAAGTTACTGTGAAGGCAACACATCCTTGTCAGAAGTATGGACACAACAAGGACTTTTCCCGTGTTTTTATTTCACCCTGGTTTCAACAGTACTGTTGAGCATCACTTTCCTTTTTGGCAGTTTGCTGTATGTTTGTTACAATATGTACGGCACAACGATGGAGCCAAAGTATGTACCTCGCTCTCATCTTTTCTTCCTGCAATTGTTCCTGTCGGTGGTCCTGCTTCTGCAGTTTGGAATCTATATCCTTTGGCAATCCTTTGGTTTAGGCATTGTGTATGGATACATGATCGTCTACTCATGTCTATCTATTATTGGGTGGTTGTGTACCATTGCTCTGCTGCACCTTGAACGCACAAAGGTGTTGGTGCGGGACAGGACACGTGGTCACAGTACCATTCTGCTACTCTTCTGGGCTCTGGCCTTTGCAGCTGAGAATCTGACCTTCATATCGTGGAGTAGTCCTTTATGGTGGTGGTCACTGGACAATACCGATCGCAAGGTACGTTCTAAGAATAACATTTGTTGTGGAGCAAAATGTGGATTGAGAGTGAAAGGGCTGAGCTCGGACTGTTTGTCCGTGCAAGATTGGTTTTTCTTTCATAAGTATTTATGTCTGCGTTTGAAGAACACCACCTATTGCATTAGAGATTTTAAAAAAAAGGTAACTGTAAAGAGTCAGCAGGTCAGGCAGCATCTGTGAAGAGTGGAATATAGGGTTAAGATTTCGGATCAGGTGAGGTTTCATTAGAACAGTCTCATGAATATGCCACGTGCCAATTCTCCAGCAAAAAAGAAGCATGAAAAAGTAGCTGCCCAGCCATTAAAATCAGGCAGCAAGATTCTGATGATGGAGACCCACAGGAATGGTTAGCAGCACAAGCCAACCATTTTAGAAGATGAATCTTGAGTTGAAATGAAAGGCGGGGGCAGGGGAAGGATTGCCTGGGGTAGGGGAAGGGACCTGGAGGAATATCCCTGTTCTGTTTGGCCACCAAGAAAACAAAATGAGAGAGCTTACTTTGCAGACTGTTTTCTCGTACTGGTCCAAAGCAGCTTCTATGCTAGGCAACCCAGCATTGCTTCCACCTTCCAAGTAGGATAAATCAATAGATTAGTCTGACCAGTTTGGGTGGGGTAGGAGTGGTCTGTTTTCATTGCCATCCAATGCACTGGTTTCAGGAGAGGGAGGATGTTGCAATTGAGTGATAAGAATTGTTAAGCAATCGAATACTTTTAACATTCAGCTTGACGAAGTACTAATGTTAAATAAATCCAATAAGAATGTGGGACATAAGAAAAGACCGAGATCTATTTTGTTCACTTTCTTGATGGTTGCATAATACATCCGTCATGTGAGTTGCTGACCAAGCAATGTGAACAATCTCTGTTACTGAGTTTACAGCTGCCTCATACATTGAGGCAAGGAAAATTTCAAATGGTGGAGAATATTGGGAACTTGTAAATCCAAAGCCACCTGTTCCTTTTGATAACAGTACACTCACCACAAATCCTATCTTGATTTGGATAAAAGTAGTGACTAAAGTGCTTGCAGCTGCTTTTTAATAATGACCTTTAATTTTTGCTCAAATTGATCAGGATGGGGTGGTTGCAGTATATGACTGAGGAATAGTAGAATTACATGTGGTTACTCATTTACTAAAGTCTTGGCTCACATTGAAACTTTGCCTCTCCTGAAGATAACTGCAACACCAAATCAATATAATGGATGACTGGGCGTGAGGTATAGTTTGGAAACTAATAGCTGGCTTGCTTATTAGAGAAAGAATAAAGAAAAACAACTAGTTTGGGTAGAGCAAGATTCCACAAATAATGATTGACAGATAATCAGATAATCTGTTTATCTGTGACATTGGTTGAAAGATATGTACTTAGATGTGTAAGAGAATGCACCTGCTGTTCCATAAAATACTGCAAGAGACATTGTATGTCCACCTGAGAAGGGAAGTTTTAGTTTAATCTCATCTTTGAAAATCAAAATTTCTGACAGTGCAGCTCTTCCTGGTTCAATTCCTGCACCAGATGAGGTTACCTTCTCAACCTTGCCCCTCACCTGAGGCGTGGTGACCCTCGGGTTAAAAGGGACTCAGATTAATTAAAGATCTTCAGAGCAGCTATTTAAATGATGAGATGATAAATTTGCGGGTGACACGAAGATTGGCCAAGTGGCTAATAGTCAAAGAAGAAGATCTTAATCTACAGGAATATATAGACTGGCTGGTCAGATGGGTAGATCAGTGGCAAATGGAATTTAATCCTGAAAGATGTGAGGTGATGTTACTTTTTTCAAAGTACAAGGCAAGGTACTCAATGATACTGGGAAGCTCAGAGGAGCAGAGGGATCTTGTGGTGTTCATTCACAGATCCTTGAAGATGACAGGACAGGTTAATAGGAAGATTAAAAAGGCATACAGGCACTTGCCTTGATCACCAATGGCATAAATTATAAGAGCAAGGAGGTTAGAACATAGAACAGTACAGGCCCTTCGGCCCATGATGTTGTGCCGAACTTTTACGCTAATCCTAAGGTTTATCTGACCTCCACCCCTACCTTATACTATCATCATTATGCCTATCTAATCGCTGCTTAAATGCCCCTAATGAGGCCGACTCCACTACCCTCTCTGCAATGCATTCCACACCCCTACCACTCTCTGAGTAAAGAATCTACCTCTGACGTCTCCCCTGTATCTACCTCCACTCACTTTAAAACTATGCCCCCTCACACTATTTAGATTTTCCACGTTTCCTTGTATAGTTAGTTGCATAGAGATATTATTACACATCTCTGGAGTAGGTAGGACTTGAACCTAGGTTTCCTAGTTCACAGGTAGGGACACTGCTACTGCACCACGAGTTGGAGTTGTACAAGACTTTGACTGTGGTGTACTCTGTGCCATTCTGGTCACCTTTTACAATAGGAAGGATTTGATTGGGGGCGCAGAGGAGATTCACCAGAATGTTGCCTGGGATGGAGCATTTTAGCTATGAAGACAGGCTAGATAAGCTCTGGTTATAGAGTCATACAGCATGGAAACAAACCCTCTGGTCCAACCATTCCACATCGACTATGTTCCCAAACTAAACTAGTACCACTTGCCTGCTCCAAACCTTTCCAATTCACGTACTTATCCAAATGTCATTTAAACATTGTAACTGTGCCTGCATCCACCACTTTCTCTAGAAGTTCATTCCACACCGGAACCACACTCACTGTGTTTTTAAAAAAAAAGTCATCCCTCATTCTTTCTAAAGCTTTCTCCTCTCACCTTAAAAAATACCCCCTAGGTTTGAACTCTCCTACTTTGGGGAAAAGACCCTTGTCATTCACTTTATTGATGCTCCCTCATGATTTTATAAACATCAATAAGGTCATTCTTCAACCTGCTATCTTCCAGCAAAAGAAGTTCCAGTCTTTCCAGTATATTTTTATATCTCAAATCCTGCATTCTTGGCAACATCCTGGTAAATCTGTTCTGAAACCTCTCCAGTTTAATAGTATTCTTCCTATAACAGGGCAACCAGAGCTATACACAGTACTCCAGGAGAGGCCTCACTAATGCCCTGAACAACCTCAACATGACGTAACAACTCCTATATTCAACGTGTATCTGACTGTGATGCATATTTCAAAGAATTTATGTACCTGAACCCCTAGGTCTCTGCAACACTGCCCAGGACCCTACATTAACTGTGTAAGTCCTGTCCTTGTTTGTATTATTAAATGCAAACCTCATATTTATCCAAATTAAAGTCCATCCACCATTCCTCAGCCCATTGACCCAATTGATCAAGATCTCCTTGTAATCTAAGATAACCTCCTTCACTGTCCACTATACCACCAATTTTGGTGTCATCTGCAAACTTACTAATCATGCCTCCTATATTCTCATCCAAATCATTTATATAAATGACAGACCAACGAGGACGCAGTACTGATCGTTGTAGAACACCTCTGGTCGTAGACCTTCAGTCCAAAAAGCAACCCTCCACCACCATCAAGCCAATATTGTATCCAATTAGCAAGCTCACCCCGAATCCTACGTAATCTAACTTTGCTAATCGTATTGTTTTTTTTTTTGAGGCAGAGAAGGTGTATCAGATTATGAGGCATGGATAGGAAGGGTTAATAACAAGGGGGCATAATTTTAAAGTGAAAGGACGGAGGTTTAGAGGGGATTTGAAGAAATTCTTTTAACCCAGAGGGTTTCGGAAATCTGAAATGCACAGCTTAGTGGGATAGTTGAGACGGGCAAACATTGCAACCTTTTTAAAGTGTATGTGGATGAACGCTTGAAATGTCTGAAGAAGGGTCCAGACCCGAAATGTCCGCTTTCCTGCTCCTCTGATGCTGCCTGGCCTGCTGTGTTCATCCAGCTCCACACCTTGTTATCTCCGACTCCAGCATCAGCAGTTCCTACTATCCCAAAGATGGCTGATTTCCTTTCCTAAAGGGCATTCGTGAACAAGATGAGTTTTTGAGACAGTCAATGTTAGTGTCATGATCACCGTTACTGAGGGTAGCTGTATATGCCAAATTTATTACTTGAGTTCAAATTCTGCCAGTTTCCATGAAGATGGAGGTAAACATGCAGGATAAGGGCTTGTGGAATTCTTGGTTTGGAGGAGGTGGTGTTGGTTTTATGGGTAATATAATAGTGTGAAAGAAGGATTGATTGACAGACAGGAAGCTGCATTGAGAGGCATTTTCAAATAGACTGTAACTGTAAGTACTAAAAGGATCAGCAATACAAACAGAAAATAATCTGCTAAGGTAGCATATATGGAGGGAAAAAGATACTATCATCTATAGTCTGTGATCTTTCATTAGTTGTAGATACAAGATTTTGTATCACTGTTCAGTGCCTTGAGCCTCGGTAGCAAGATTTGTTTCTGGAGGGAAATTTGTCAGTGACGTGCAACAGCTGTCGTCTTTTTTAAAACCTATCTCTGATGTGCTGCAACATGAATTTTTGGAAAAGTAGCTTCCACTTTCAGCTACTACTAAATATACAGCAGAAAGGGAGAAATTTAGTACATAATGAGCATAATTTGGAGCAAGCTATTCAGTCTGTTGAGACCACTCCGCCACTGAATAGGATCATGGCTGATCTGATTGTAACCTCAAATTCACATTCTCAAATACCCATGATAATCTTTCACTCTCTTGTTTATCAAGAATTTATAGAAGGGTCACCAGACCTGAAATGTTAACTCTGATTTTTTCTTCACAGATGCTGCCAGAACTGCTGAGGTTTTCCAGCAACTTTTTTGTTCTTTTTGGTCAAGAATTAATCTACCTCTGCTTAAAAATATTCAAGGATTCTCTTCCTAAAAAAGTAGTAGAGGGGAGGTAATGGCCTAGTGGTACTATCGCTAGACTATTAATCCAGAGGCCCTGGTAATGTTCTGGGGACATTAGCTCTGACAGTGTGGAGTCTATGGGTAGAGTTGAGAAAATACCAAGGGGCAAATAACATTACTAGGTGTCATATATAGACCCCCAGTGGTGATGTTGAGAATGGCATTAAACAGAAAATTAGAGATGCATGTGATAAGGGGATATCGGTGATCATGGGTGATTTTAATCTTCTCTGAGCCTTCTTTGCTCCAAGAAGAATAAACCCAGCTGCCCCAGTCTTACACTTGTAATTCCTGTTCCCTAAAACCATTCTAGTAAATCTATTGTAATACCCTCTCCAAAGCCTCATGAATCCTCCAGTGTAGTGTCCAGGATTGAACATACTGCTGCAATTGCATTAGTGTTTTATGTAGGGTTTAGCATTGCTTCCTGACTCTCTGCCTCTCTGTACAAAGCCCAAGATCCCGCATGTTTCAGTCATTGCTTTATTCACTTATACTTTCACAGTTGCTGCTGGTCCTGTTGTATTTCCAGAACTGTACTTTCTAATTGCTGTGGATTAATGGCTGACATTTTATTTATGTCTCACAGGTACGCTTTAGTTTGTGGATGGTGCGATACATCTGTACATTTCTGCTCTTTGTCCTTGGACTGAAGGCACCAGGTTTGCCTCGAAGACCTTATATGCTCATGATTAATGAGGATGAACGAGATGTTGAATACAGCCAGGTATGGTAATAAAAAAAGTTGGATTTATGTAGCACCTTTTGCGACCTCAAGACCTACTCACAGCAAGTAGTTTCAGAAAAGCAAAATCCCACAAACAGCATTTGAGGTAATTACAGATAATCTTTCTTGTTAATCTATTAGTTAGTTGATTTGAAATTGGCTAAGTCACCAAAGAGAACCTCCCTGATCATCTTTGCACAGTGCCATTGGTCTTTTATGCCCACCTGAGAGGGTAGAATGGGCTTTAATTTAATGCTGTGTCAAAAAGACTGTATCTCCAAACACTGCTGAGCTGGAGTGTTGCACTGGAATATCAACTGAACTTTGAATCCAAAAAATTTGAAATGGGACTTAAAAATGTGACCTCACAAGGAAGGGTGTGACCACTGAACCAAAACCCAAGATACTTGGATTAGATGCCATTATTTGTTAAACAATGTATGGTTTTTTTGGGATCTTGCTGTGTGGAAAAAAGATTGTTCATATAACCTGATACTGTAAAATATTTACTTATGAATTGCTTAGAGGTATTTGAGATAAGTGGTTATATAAAAGTTATTCATCCTGTAACAAAGAGATCTTAAAAACACATTGTACACTTGAAAGGATTTGTTCGTTTTTTTGAAATACTAGCATCTGTCCATTTCTAAAGGATAAAAAAAAGAAGATAACTTCAGATGATTTCATTCTTTCAGAAAACTAGCCTGTCCACTACAGCTTTTAATTTGAACTTGGAGGCAGATAGAGCCTTTTTTTATTCACTTATGAGATGTGGACATCATTGCATTGCCCGTCCTTAGTTTGCCTCGAGAAAGTGGTGATATGCTGCCTTCTTGAACTGCTGCAGTCCAGCTGCTGTAGGTAGACCCACAATGCCCTTTAGGGAGAGAATTCCAAGATTTTGACACAGTGAGAGTGAAGGAATGGCGCTATATTTCCAAGTCAGGATGGTGAGTGGCTTGGAGGGGAACTTGCAGTGTTCCCATGTATCTGCTGCCCTTGACCTTCTAGAAGGAAGTGGCCATAGGGTCGGATGTGTTGTCTAAGGGTCTCTGGTGAATCTCTGCAATGCATCTTGTAGACTGCTGCTAATGAATGTCGGTGGTGGAGGGAGTAGATGTTTATGGATGTGGTGTCAATCAAGTTGGCACTTTGTTCTGGGTGGTGTCAAACTTCTTGAGTGTCGGAGCTGCATTCATTCAGGCAAGTGGGGACTAGTCCACACACATTCCTGACTTGTGTCTTGTAGATGGTGGACAGGCTTTGGGGAGTCAGGAGGTGAGTCACTCATTGAAGAATTCCTAGCTCTGAACTGCACTGTGTTTATGGTGAGACCAGTTGAGTTTCTGATGAATGGTAATGCCAATGATGTTGATAGTAGGAGATTGAGTGAAAACACCTTTGAATGTGAAGGGGCAGTGGTCAGATTGTCTTTCATAGGAGATGGTCATTACCAGGCATTTGTGTAGCGGGAATGTTACTTGCCACTTGTCAGCCAAAGCCTGGATATTGTCCAGATCTTGTTGCATTTGAACATGGGCTGCTTCAGTATCTGAGGAGTCGCGAGTGGTGCTGAACATTGATTGCACAATGGTGAACATCCTCATTTCTGACCTTATGATGGAGGGAAGTTTATTGACAAAGCAGCTGAAGATGCTTCAAATTTCATTTGAAAGGAATATTCTTGATGTCTCTGAGCCTACCCTTGGTATTGCACTGCAGTATATTAAACTCATTGGAAATTAACAGTGGAAGGAGGCAGATGGTTTAGTGTTAAGATTTGACTAGTGGTGCCCTACAGTTGCAACTTGAACTATTCACTTCATTTATTAAATAATAGAATACCTACAGCGTGGAAATGGGCCAATTGGCCCAACAAGTCCACTCCAAAGAGCATCCCACCCAGAACCATTCTCCTACCTTTTCCCTGTAACCATGCATTTCCCATGACTAATCCACCTAACTTGCACACCCCTGGACGCTACAGGCAATTTAGCATAGTCAATCCACCTAACCTGCACATCTTTGGGCTGTGGGAGGAAACCGGAGCACCAAGTGGAAACCCACACAGTTACGAGGGGAATGTGCAAACTCCACAGAGACAGTTGCCCGAGGGCGGAATTGAATCCAGGTCCCTGGCACCGTGAGGCAGCAGTGCTAACTACTGAGCCACTGTGATACCCTCATAATGAGACACTGCAATGGAAAGCTATGTATCAAAGTTCACTGATGATACAGACTTTTTTGACATTGCAAACAGTCTAGATGGAAACATTATTACAAAGACATATCTGTAGTGATTGGGCAAAACTGTGACAAATGGGTTTCAATGCAAATGGACCTAAGATGATAGATTGGAGTAATTTTAAAGTTGTGAAAATTGAGAAGAGGTTGTAGTCAAAAGAATACTTGGTTTTCGTATGCACATCGTTGATTTAGTTGATAAGGTTCACAATGGCAGGAGATATCAGCCCCATGGAATGCTCCTCCTACAATGTGTTGGAAATCAGGGACACTACCAGTCTCCATGGTAGCTCCGTATACAGGTAATGTGTTCAGCCTCAGTTCCTGATTTGCTGCATTGAGTGCCTGGAACTGTGGATGGACTCATTATGGAGCATCCATGAGTCTGAGAATGTCATGGATAGAACGTTTAGTGAGCTGGTCACACCACCAGTAAGGGCTACACAGACAGGGAAGAGTTGGATGGCTACCAGGAAGACGAGTAAGTGTGGCAGGTATTGCAAGAGTCCCTTGTGACCATTCCCCCCCTCAAACACGTATACTGCATTGGATAGTGCTGGGGGGCATGGCCTGTCGGGGGAAAGCAGCAGCAGCAGCCAGATCAGTGGGCACCATAGCTGGCTCTGTTGTACAGCAGAGAGGGTTGAAGAGCAGTAGTGATAGGATACTTTATAGTCAGGGGCACGGATAGGCATTTCCAGGATGGTGCGTTGCCTTCCTGGTGCCAGGGTCAAGATGACTCTGAGCAGCCACAGGATATTCTGAAGGAGGAGGGTGAGCAGCCAGAGGTTGTCATCCCTGTTAGTACCAATGACATGGGCAGAAGAAGAGATGAGGTCCTGCAAGGGGAGTTCATGGAGTTAGGTGGGAAATTGAAAAAAACAGGACCTCTAGGGTTGTAATCTCAGGATCACTTCCTGTGCTATGTGTCAGTAAGGCTAGGAATACATGGCTAAAGAGTTGGTGTAGGAGTGGGAACTTCATGTAGTGGGTCATTGGGATATCTTCCAGGGCAGCTGGGACCTGTACAAGAAGGACGGGCTGCACGTAAGCTGCAGGGGCACCAGTATCCTGGCAAGGATGTTTGCAGGCGCCACGTGGGAGGGTTTAAACTACTGTGGCAGAGGAGCGGGAGCCAGAGTCTATCAGCAAGTAAAATGACTGAGGAGGAGCCTGAGACTAAGGCCAGGAAGAACAGACTGGGGAAGATTCCTGAACCTGGTGGAACGGCAGTCTGAGCTGTATTTATTTTAATGTGAGGAGTATAACAAATAAGGCAGATGAATTTAGAGCTTGGATTAATACATACAATTATCATGTTGTACCTATTACAGTGACTTGATTGAAAGAGGGACAAGACTGGCAGCTTAATGTTCTGGGATTTAAATGTTTATTTTTGTTTTAATATTCATTCACAGGATGAGGGCTTTGCTGGCTAGGAAAGCAGTTATTGCCCATACCTGATTCTCCAGAGGGCAATTAAGAGTCTGGAGTTACATGTAGTCCAGGCCAAGGGAGGATGGCAGTTTTTTTTCCTTTTATTTGTTCACGAGATGAGGGCATTGCTGGCTTGGCAGCATTTATTGCCCATCCCTAATTGCCCAGAGAGCAGTTAAGACTCATTGCAGTGGGTCTGAAGTCACATGTCGGCCAGACCAGGTGGGGATGGCAGTTTCCTTCCTTAATGGACACTAGTGAACCAGATGGGTTTTTCCTGACAATCAACAATGGATTCACAGTCTTCATTAGATTCTTAATTCTAGATATTTTATTGAATTCAAATTCCACTGTCTGCCATGGCGGGATTTGAACCCGGGTCCCCAGAACATTATCTGGGTCTCTGGATTAACAGTCCAGCGATAATACCATTAGGCCATTGCCTCCTCCCCCATCTGCCTCAAAGGACATTAGTGAAGCAAACAGGTTTTTTTTTATAACTGACAATGGTTTCATTGTCATCAGTAGATTCTTAATTCCAGACTTTTGTTTTGAGTAACTTCAAATTGCACCATTTCTGTTTCTGGATTAATAACTTAGTGGTATTGTTGCTGGACTATCTCCTCACCTCCTAGAAAAGATGTCATAATGGACACTTTTTTTTCTTTAAAAAAAATGATCTGAAGAGGCATGATCAACGTAGATTTATGGAAGGGAAATAGGGCTTGATCAACCTATTAAAGGATTTTGACCACTTTACTAACAGACTAAGGGATCACTGGGTGTAGTGTATTTGGATTTTCAGAAGGCTTTTGATGAGGTCCCGCACAGGAGTTTAGTAAATAAAGTTGGAGCACGTGAGATAGCGGGTAGATTGATTCCTGAGATAGCAGGCTTGTCTTATGAGGAGAGATTGGTTGATTTGGGCCTTTTATTCATTGGAGTTTACAAACTTCTGGACCTATGTCTCACGACTCACTTTACCTTTAGTGGCCAAATCTGCAAACAGAATAACGGGACACCCATGGGGTCACCTATCTCCGGACTAATAGCAGAAGTGGTGATGTAGAGACTTGAAAGCATGGCCCTTCTGCAAATCCAACCTAAACTATGGATCTGATACATGGACAACACTTCCGTCATCAAACGGACCAAACTAAAGGAGAAAAACCAACTAATAAACAACACTCTCACCGGCATCAAATTCAACAGAGAAGAGGAAAAGAATGAACAGCTCCCATTCCTGGATGTCATGCTAGAACGCAGGGCCAACGGGGAATTCCTGACGAAGGTACACAGGAAAGCCACACACACTGACC